AACAAGATTGTTGACAAATTAAAAAATGAGCCGTGAGATTTTGCTAAAATATTTAGTTAACGATTTATCCGCATTTGTTAATTATCCGAACTAGGCGTTTAGCATTCTGTAGGTAATTTATGTTACATTCACTGTCTAGTCATAAAGAAAGGTCATTGGTATTTCACAAGAAGCGATAGCCAGTTTGTATGATCATAGAATCTTCCCAAAGGTTGGCTGATAGTCAGCCAATAACGTCTAGTCGGGATTTAAATAAATATTAGCTACCTGTACACTGCATTGTTTTGAGTAGACATTGCTGGGGGAAAAGGGATTGTTAGTATTGGGATCTAGCAGTATTACTAACAGTAGTCATTACTAACAATATACTCTATCAGGTTGACCTACACGCGGGTCCCCCTGGAAACCATCTTGATTAATTCTTTATATATTTGTCACTATAGGCCAACTAACTTGCTTTCATTCTCATCTATAATTTCTCACTGGTGACCTGCTAGTATATGCCGATAAAGCAGGCAGGGTTTAGTGAAAAAATACGAGACATGTCTTATAAAAATCTGACATTAAACAAACTTAACAATTATACATTGTTCTAAAAAACCTCAGTGTCCACAGCCAGTATTAAAACTCCAACAACATTGTCATCAATAAAATATCTATAAAATGCTTATCGATATAATCTGAAGATTTGTATTATCATCATCATCATATCAGCCTTTACCTGTCCACTGTTGAACATAAGCCTCCCTTTATAATTGGGGGGTTTGCAGTAGTTGCCAGGCTTTGATGATTTGGCAACCGCAATCAGGCTTTAGAGATGTTTTAAGAGCTGACCGTTGCTGCCTATCCTTCGCCCTCCCATAGTCGGCTCCATGTGCCAGAACCATACGGCCACGGGATTTTTAGTATACGTATATTTTTCATTAATTCAATTACTTATCAAAGCAGGTAATTAGGTACTATTTTATTTAAGAGTCCGCTCTGCTATTTCATTAATAAAGTTGCAAAATGAATATATGTAATCATTTAGAAGTATGAACACAATAAAATAAATAAATTTGAAGGTGATGTGGTGATTAAGGTGACTATATATAATATATTTATGTCAAAATATTGATATCGAAAGGTTTAATAAAAAATTGCTACTAAATATTGCAAAATAAGAAAAAAAAAAAAACTGATTGAATAGATGCTATACAAACGTTCTTTGGTTCAAAATGACGCGAATTGTTATTCATTTGTTTTCGCGTCATACAATTTTTCCTTAACAATTACTTTCCTCAATATATAATTGATATTTATGTACGAGTAATTATGAAAAAATATATATTCCTCGTTATACCAATAGTTATACACAAAAAATATAGGTAAAGTAAAATAAGAACCTCCTTTGGTTGCATAAAAACTCAGGAGAAGGATGCAAGCGAAAGATACGAGCTCTTGCATTAAAAAACAAGAACAAAATTTTTGCCGGAATACAATAAGAATGAAAGCCTCTTTCAGGCAATTTATACACTATCCGGTTTCAAAGTTGTTTCTAGGACAACGTTTTCTTTTAGTTAAAATGATATAGGAGTGAAATTTATATTTCTACTAGAAATACAATTGACAGTACAACGATTGAATTTGTAGAAGACCGGTTTCCTTATCGAATAATGAAAGGAGAGGAATGATGTCCGATGACTTTTGGAAGATAATATTATAGGTACAAATTAATTGCTTTAAACTAAGCCTCAAATAAGATTTTCCGACAGTTATATCCTACATACATACATACATAATACGCCTGTCTCCCATTAGGGTAGGCAGAAACAATTCTCGATTCAAACAAACCTCTTTCGCTTCTTCCACATTCATCAATCTTTTCATACACGCTCGTCGGTTACAGGTACTTTTAATTTATATCCTATTTTATTAATAATAGTTCTATTCAATATTAATCAACACAAATGTAAAAGTTTGTATGGATAAATGGTTGGATATTTATTTACTTTTTCGAACAAAAATTACTGAACGGATTTGTACGAAATTTGATACACAGGTAGGTTACACCGCAAGGTTACATCCTAATTTTAATCTAAGATCCTTACTTACCATATGTGATGGGATATGCACTGATTTAGTTAGGTAAAGCCATTAGGTACAACTAGGTTTTAAATAAGAAACTTGTTATTACTTACAAGCTAGAGGTCAATGAATTTCTTTTTATAATATAGCCAATTAAATAATGGTTTTTTAACTACATCCATAACGAATTAAGCACCAAGATTAATATGGTATTTTGCGTAGTATTTATTGCTCAATTTATATGTCGGGTTTGTTTAGCATCTATTAAAATTTTATATTGATTTATGTATATGATGTATTTTGATGGGAATTATTGCTGTAATATTAACACAAACAAACATCATCTTTGGTATGTCTAAAAATATGTATAAAACTATTACTTTATATTATAACTAATATATGTATGTATAAACGCCTCAGTACAAGAATTATAGATGTGCAATATTCGATGTATGTATGTTGGTATATACATGAAACTTTACTAGATACTATGCACTCGTAGCTTGAATGTCACCGCTTACCATAAGGTGGAACGTATGCTTGCTTGTCACCTCAGTATAAAAAAACACAACTACTTAACAAAGTCTCAATTCTTTTAAGATTAAATTACGATCCCTTTTATTGGAGAAATGTTACTACTCCGTACGTGACTTCTGTACTGTTGAATAATGTAAATAATTAAAAATGAATTTGACATATATATATATATAATATTCCTATGAAGTTGTTGTTTATTGCAAAATGTATTTATTATAATTTATTGTTATTATTATAGTTATTGGATGGTTGTAATATTCAAGTTAATGTAATGATTTTTGTATGTTTATCCCTTATTTCAGATACAATGTACTTTGTTTTTTTCATAAATGACTAATGACTAAAAAAATTGAGTTGAATATCTAGTTGTTATGGTAGTTTACAAAATAGTTAAATTTGTTGAAAAAAAAAATTAAAATATTTTTTTCATAATTATTTACAAGGGGGTGTTGTATGATCTATGTATACATGTTACGTAATTTATCTGTTTATATTGAGGACAATTAACACTACTCAACCATCTCATCAAAGCGGATAGGGCAGGTACTTTACTACTAGGTCTCGTTACAGGAAGACAAGTAATTTTAACAGGATTACAGCTGGTCGTGCCGTCAACACTGTCGGTAGCCTTTTTTTTCGTCGTCTGACAAGGGAGATGCTCGGAACCGACAAGACTTTAAAAAATCGCGCCTTTGTTTTTCGTCGTAAGGAGACAGTCAAAAAGGATCATAATAACAAAATTGCTACATAATTGATATACTTTTACAAAGGAATGTATATCGAATAATATAAAAGTAAGAAATAAAGATACGATATTTTAAACATACGTATACATATAATTGTATAAAAAAGTAACCTAAACTATCTATAAAAACATAAGTCGGTATGTCATAAAAATAAGATACACAAATACCAAAGAAAAGTTTGGTATTTGCATATTTTATCTTCATAAAAGAACATGTCATGTTCCAGGGATGATCAAAGATCGACGCGGGTTCATATATATGGTAAAAACATTGGAGATTTCCCGCAATACCCGATATTGTAACACTGAGCAATAAAACAAAAATGTGAACGCTGCTACAGGGTAACGTAACAATGTCAGAGGATTTATCTATTACATTGTATCTATTGAATTGTAAGGATATTGATTATACGGTTGGTTATAATAATTATACTTAATTAGGTAATTTAAATTAATAAATGTTTTTACGAACAATTTGTGTAATAGAAATGCAGATCAAAACGCTATACTGAAATTATTATCAACATATCTTTTATTCTAAGATCGGTGTTACATGATCTGAAATTAATATTTTTTTTATTAATAATATAAATTCATACAGTAGGTATTATATATAATATTGCAATATTTTAGAGCTCCATAGCAAAGATGTAAAGCTACTTGATATTTTTATGAATGTTTCAGTCGTGATGTAATTAAGATATCATATGATTTTTCTTTACATACGATTTCGATACGTAATAATGTGATTACATCAGTGTAAATCTTTATTAGTATTATAAATGTAAAAGTAAATTTGTTTGTTTGTTTGTTACCATATAACGTCTTAATGCCTTAATCAACCACAATAAAATTTGGTATATGTACCATATTGGATAGAGAAGGATATAGGTTACTTTTTTATTCTGGTCAGTAAAAATATCCTAGTTACATGGACGAAGTTGGGTATAAGCTAGTAAATAAATAAAATACATCTACAAACATCCAAAAAAATTTTTTTTTGTTTACTTGTAGTTGATTATTATTATTTAGATTAACAAAAAGCCGGCTTCTAATTCAAAGCTCCTAAAAATTTATTCAAAATACGTTCAAGCTTACGTGCATAGAAAGAAATGGATTACTAGAAGAAAAGACAAATGCTACGGATATATTATTGAAGCAAGTCTAAAAATAGGCACATTAGGAATTTGCGATAAGTAAAAAAGTGTTGTGTGTAAAGTGTGTAAATAGTGTTAACAAAATAGAATATATAATATTTTTAAAAAGGATGGTAAATTATAATTATTTTATTTTGCATTGATTTAAATTAAATATACACGTTTAAAGCTAATTTTTTATTTTTATACAAATAATTAATGGTAGTGAAATTACAGCGTCTCCATAAACTTTAATACTGTATTTTTCAGGAATAGCAACGCATGAGGATAATGGGCATTACAGTGTATTATTAGATGTCTGTGGAGTTATTTATGTATATAGACGACGGTTACCACTTCCAATCAGGTGGGCCGTAAGCTTATTTGCTATTGTAAGTTTATAAAAAAATATGTACGCGAAATTTAATGACTATCGAAATTTTTATTTATGATTTAGGTATGGTTTTGAAATAAATTATATAATATAGCTAAAATTTTAAATAATCAATAGATACCTTCAAGAGCAACAATCAAATTGAAAATACTTTAGGGTCACTCAATTTTCACATTCCATTGTTTAATCACTGCACTCATATCATATTTAGGTAAATTATAATTGAATCGTATACACTTAATTACATGAAATCACGGAGCCGTTTCCAGTTCAAGTCATGAGGCACGCACTAAAGTTTATATCAAATTGGACGCGAGCGCGGGCCACCGCACGCAATATAAAGCCGGTCCGAGACATCGATTGACCTTGTCATTATAGAGTTAGTATGCAATATTAGGGCAGTATTATCTATTTTCCGATAACCAACTATTGTATTTCACATAGATACATGGAGTATGAGTGTTGCTCACTATGGAGTTAGGGCGGATACTAAATCGTTTAATGTAGAGACTAGACATTTACTTATGCACATTTCGTTGGTACTTCGCCTAAGATTAGTATCTCGTATTGGAACAGTTCTCACCATACATTCCCACCATACTGAGTTACTCTTTACTTTGTGTATATTTAAATCTAGAGTTACTTATGAACTATAAATGAATTAAAATTATATAAATAAAGTATTTTATTTATGTAAGAAATGAAAAATGTTAATTACGGAAAATGCCATTTGGCATTATACGAACCAGTATCTTACAATATCAGTAATTATGGATTGCAAAATGATAATTGTAATAACCTACTTATTTTCTCATAAAACAGGATAAATCTCGACAATTTCTTCAGTGCAGGTTTTGTGTCGGTATGTTTCATATATATCTACTAAAAATTAAACTTTTAACTTCATGATCGAAAAACTGGTATTACGAACATTACCTTAATGATTGAATACATGTTTTTTAAAATGTATTTTAAGAATGTATTATACTTAATTGTATTTTCATTAAAAGATATTATTTGTATTTTTTGTGTTTAATTCAAAATTTTAAACTCGAAATAACGCAGTTTCTAAAAGGAAGTTTTTCTATATATCTTTTGTGCGTATTTTACACTAATTGTATAAATGTTGTCAATTCTGAAGTGAATTTGATAGTTCTTTTAAACTTGATAGGATCATAAAATTATATATTATACTAACACGAGAGTAATTGTAAGTAAGTTCTATATAATTTTGTGATGATCGAACTGTCCTTTTATTTACTGAGTAAAAACCTGTTTGTTGCCAAGCAAAATTTGTCTGCTGAAGATTCGATTCTGCGTTCCAAACTCAAACATTTTAAATCTAATCTGGTATGTACAAAACATCTCGTCGTTCATCGGTGCGTTTTATTTGTTTTCTAATAATAGTTGTGAGATTACTAGTCAATATTATTTTTTGCGAAGTAAGTACTACATTGAATGAACCTATACTGATATTATAAGAAGAAAACATTTCATTGTTTTTTTTTTTGTAATAGAGAAACTTAAAAACTACTTAAAGGATTTAAAAAATCTTTTCATTTACAGACATTTCCAAAATTCTATCTACCCGTTCGAAGCCGGGTTGGATTGGATTGGATTATAAAATGAGACACATCGTGAGTTTTATTCTAGTTCTATTGTATCATTTATAAACAGGTTTTACTAATAGATTAGATTTAAAAGATTCACATTTCTCTGTAGAAATTCCATATAATAGGTATAATACATTTACTTTTACGTAAAAAGGGTACTTAAACAATTAACAACTTGGTCTCGTGATTGGGATATGTTGATTTCTCGGAATAAAAAGTACGTCCTACTCCATTCTAAATAATATGAGTATATTAAATTTCAAGAGGACTGGTTGAGCTATGAAATGTTTATTTGAAAATTATTTTTCAATAAGTTTATTTTATTGATTTTTTTATTATATTGTTCATTGTTTCAGTGTACGGTAATAATAACTGTCATTCATTTCCAAAATGACTATCAGTATTTATTGACTTAATAAAAATACTTTGATTGAAATTAAATGTAATATAAATATATAAGATGTTACATATAATAATCATTTTTCGTATACAACAGAATTGGAGAAGTGTTCTTTTATCAAAGTCCTCCAATTATAACTTATAGAAAGTGTAAGCACATTGTATACATATAAGATCACAATAACGAAATACAGATTAAATTTGAGGTAAGTACCTAATATATTGGACAACTTTACAAGAGATACGGCAATTAAACAATGTTGATATATTGAAATGCTTTTATTCTAATTGTTATATCAATTATTATGTATGGTTTGTGAGAACGCTCAAATCTCTAAATATATTATTAAGTCACTTTACAGTTGTCGTCTATTTTTGCGAAGAAAAGTTTGTTTTAATAACAGGTCCATTTTGTTCTTCGAAAAACCAACGATTTCAATCGTAACAAAATTAATGAGGAACAAACACGGCAGTAAACCCTATTGATTGCAAAACGAATAACAAAATCAGTTCAGAATTGGCGAAGATATCGCGTAACATGCACATAAAAAAATACAAGCGAATTGAGAACCACCGCTTTTGGAAGTCGCTTAAATGGTATTAAAATGCAGAAATGATTCAATCTTCAATTGTAATACCTTATAGATGTAAGTTGTGCTAGTGGCTTTGTAAGAGCAAGGTTATTTCGTAAAGGTGGGAATATCGGTGGGAACGGAACCATCTTTTCGTTACGGCATTGTTGTCGTTACCTGGATGTTACGTAATTATTTTTAAAGTATTTAGGCGTGCTGCAGAAAATTACATATAATGAATATTATGGACCTTCAGTGCTGTAAATTAAATGTGCACCTACTGCGCAAGGTCATCACGAGCGACGAACTTTGTGTTTGCGCATTGGGATTGGGGCTCACAATAATTTGGTGACCTATTTCGATCTAGGTTATTGTCGAAACGAGCTGTTCACTGCTAACAATTTAATATTGTAGCGGACACTGAACCGAGCTCTTTTATCCAATATATGTAAGTTTGTATAAAAGACCTTGCTAACTTAATGATGTCATTAGTTTATTGGACAAAACGTCAGCTAGAATACTTAAGTACTTTAAAATTATTTAAAAACTATGTTACCTAGTAAGTGTTTATTTTTCTGTCAAGAGACTAGACCTCGTGTGGAAATATAAATTAGAGGTCAATCACTTTATATTATTTGCAGATAATTACTATAATAGATCACTTTGTTATATTGTTTCTAATATTTATTTACATAAATAACTAAAATTATGTATTAAAAAAGGCAGTATGGGGTAAGTGGGTATGGAAGTAAACTTTTTCTTTATAAAAAAATCTGTTTAAAATGGAAATAATATATGCTAAATGTTTGATAGGCACGTTACTCACTATCGATTACTGCGCTACAGTTTGTGTACTTTGTGTAAATGAGGCCTGGGGTTTGATTTTTAGTTTAAGCAATTTACGAAACGAATTTAAAAAAAAAAACACTTCAAGTTAGATGTTTTGTATGTCTGTGTATGTTGACTGGTTTCTCATTGACCATTGGTATCTTAGGTGACATAAAAAATACTAGTTAAAATAAAATCTACCTAGATGTATCATAAATAACTATAATTCTTATTGCAGAGTCATACAGTAACGAAATAATGGTATAAGCAAACAAGGACATAATGCTGAGGTCATCAAAATTGTTATATTCGACAAAATCCGACTTTAATTTACATATTTCATTAACATCGCACCTGTAGGAGTACTTTTAGCGTAAACTTTTTATTGAATTATTTAAATTTCACCAAATATCTGATTTCAGTAGTAACAAACGTAGTATGAAGTTGTAAAATAATAATCGAAATCGGTTTGACGATGAAAAAATCGCGTAATTGTAATATTATATAAATAATACAGTAGAATCGAGAATCTCTAATTTCTTGGGCGGTGAATAATAGAGGAGGCCCAATTTGATTATCTTGTAATAGTGTTTATCGATTACAGTGTATATAAGTACGTAGCGGTAAATTTCACAACGAACGATTTATGAATAGATGAACAATCGTGTGATTGATCATCTGTTCGTAGCTGGCACTAATATTGCAATTCATTTAAACGCAATTCATTTGCAAGTGAACCCAATCTACGTATTTGAGTAATTTATTTATTTATTTGTATGCTTTCACTTATAGTACTTATTTTAAGGGGTAATAATGGAATGATAATTCTGTCTGCACTAACGGTATACACTGGCGGGGTACCAGTGAGTGATGATAGGTGAGAATGAAGCAGGTCAGTTAGCCCATCATGATGAACTCAACAAGTTTCCAGGGGGAACCACATGGAGGTCGACCTGATAGGGTATATTGCCAGCAATGGGACCATCAAACTCCATTACTAACAATATAGTATAGATATTAAGTTAGTGGATTTATCCTTTACAGGGATATCTTTTAGTCAACATTGAGACCCCGAAAGGAGAAAGTGTCTATAGGGTTTGTATACGAGTATAAAGTATATATGGTGCTATTTTTGTCACGATAAACAATAAATAATTAGTAACTTTATAGTTAGTATATATATATATATATATATATATATATATATATATATATATATATATATATATATATATATATATATATATATATATATACTTAGAATAACTATCATATATATAAGTAACTCAACTGTCAATTATATTGTAAAATAATTTTATTTGAGTTTTAAAGGTATGGATGATCTGCGCCATTCTGGCATCATTTAGAGGGATTTCCCAATATGTTTATATTGAATAATGTTTATGTAGGTATATGATTAATCTTTGTGTATGTAAAAAAATAGAAATAATTAATTATTACTATAATAATAATATTTGTAAATATTACTTATAGATATCCAATTATGAAATTTAATGTTTGGCGAATTCAATTAATTTATTGTCTTCGTTTCGAAGTCATTAAAGTAATTGGGCAGGGAAGTTGTTTAATAGTTAATAAGAGTAAACACGTATATCAAAGAATGTAATGGATGTTGTAACTTCTTGACTTGACTGACCAGTCAATTATGACATAATTCAAGTTCAAAGTGCATAATGTACTTTATGGCTCAATTGCCAAAAAGATAGCACGATCTGTCACGGTCAAACAAATAAGCACTTACGGCAAATCTGTACAATAACAATATTATTATTAAGTTGAAACTGTCAAGGGCAATATTAATTGTACCTATACCAAATCAGTTTTTCTATCTATTATAATTAGGTAGGTACTCTATCTGATATTGAGTCCAATTATTGATTGGAAAACATCCCTTTAAAGAATAATATACTCGTAAATTTGCCATTTTCTTTATTTTCTTTCGTTGTAACTTTCTATTGATGCAATAAAGTGTCACAAACAAACCTATCCAATGAACTGTATTTATCGTCATCTTGTACGTAATCGAAATAAAAAAAAATATATTGTGTAAAAACATTTAGCTCTATTGAAACATTTTAGTACTTATATGGATGCGGACTTGTGGGGCTTCATTTTACTGTGCAACCAACATATATATTTTACTTTTAGACTCTGATACATGCGAGATGCATCAGAGTCTAAAAGTAAGTTTTTTTCTTTAAAGTTTTTCATCTGTACTTCTGATTGGATTGCATTGTCTTCCGCTTTATTTCATTCAATATAAAAATTACAGCAATGACCTCGTTTATAAATCATGCGTGCGTATTGTCACGTTTACTATGCAATATTAAAAACTTTGTTTGCAAAATAAAAAAAAACATGTATTTCGGGACAATCCCGCGTACTAATTATATTTCTTATACCACCAGGAAAAGTCATACTAGTGTTTATTATAAATACCTACATTTTTTTATCTTTTATGTAATAATTTGTTTTATTATAATTTCACTGCTTTTAGGTAACTATACTGTTAGGTAATTTAAAAATAATTTTAAATATAACGGGATACGCTGGCGGAGCACCAGTGAAGAGTGATAGATGAAAACAGGCCAGTTAGCTCATCATGATGAATTCATCAGGAATTTACCATGATAGTTTCCAGGGAGAACCGCAAGGAGGTTGACCTGGTTGGATATATTGCTAGCAATGGGATTCTCAGTCTCCATTACTAACAATCCCTTTCCCCCCTCATTGTCATATTGGAAATATAGCAATTAAAGCTGAACTCGAATCTTTTCATAATTTACGTAATGGATTGTGTATCAATACGAGTATAATAAGCATAGTAGGTGTAGCCGGCCCATAGTTGTTTCATCACCTTTTTAATAGCTGACCGGAGAATGATCTTTTCGGATAAGTATCACGTGGCGTTTGTGTCGATTATGTTGATAGGTAAGTATTTCAAAATTAGACCTTGACTCATGAATTGTTAAGGAAGTCAAGGTGAACGTATGTCTGTTTAGTTATTTATTAACAGAAAGTAAAATAGTAAACAATGAAATTCGTTTGTTTATAATTTTATTTATAAAGAATACTGAAATCTACGAGTTAGACTGAAACTCGGGCCCGTTACATTTTCTTACTTTCAGTAGTCTATCAAAGCTTTAATTTTGGTAGTTGTAATGCGATGCTTAGTAATAAGCATAATGGTAGATGGGGAAAGGGAACGTTAGTAACAAGGGCTTGCGATACCATTGCTGGCATTATACTCTGCAATATTGACTTTTATGCGATACTTTCTGGAACCGTCTTGGTTAATTTTTGGAGAATTCGCTATAATGGACCCAATGACCTAGATTTTAACCCTCACTGGCACCCCGTCAGCGTAAACCAATAACGCATACTGGATTACCATTCTATCTTAGATTGTATAGATAGAGTGTCTCTATACAAATGTTTCGCCAAAAATAGTTCTATATTGTTATTCACGTGTGCATGATAGGGCTGTTATAGTCTACATTTATTACTCAGTATATGGGGGAGATTATATTGTATGGTTAAATAAAAAAAAATGTAACGAAATTTTTACGAATTTATTTAAAAGAACAAGATATGCATAACAATTCGTAATGATGCTTGTTTTTACTGAATACTTTGTTAATAATATAAGTATAATCATAAAATTATTGAAAATTGACAGCTATATATATAGGAATTATATATATAATTAAAAAAATCTATTTTGTCTGGGAAGTTTTTAATTCTACCTACAAGTAACATTGACATTTAATAAAAAAAAAATAACAATGTATGCACAACAACCATCTCAAAATTTAATAGATTTTGTAAGTAAACATCTAAATGTAAAATTGCAATATTCATTACTTGAGTTTTGATTGATTGATATGAGAAATAGATTACTTCTTCACCATCAAGTACCTGACAGTTTGACGTTAATTATAAGAGGCGGTTATTTGTTCTTTTGGTGCTCTCAGTCTACGTCAATTTTCATTATATACTTATTGGGCTTTTTTATAATTATATACAAAATATATTCAATTATATATAGACGCTTTTCATTTTCAGTAATGATACCTTAGATGTGTACATTTAGAAATTAAAATAGAATAATTTAAATTTAAAAATAATATCTCTATATGATATCATACATTTTGCTTTTTTATTATATTGTAAAGATAAAATCGATAGATGTTCTGTCATGTTACTTACGTTGTAGTACTTACGTATTTTTTTTAATGGGTGATAATAGAATGGTAACCCCACCCGCGCTATTGGTATACACCGGCGGGGCACCAGTGAAGGATGATAGGTGAAGCAGGTCAGTTAGCCCATTGTGACGAATTCAATAAGAATTATTCACTATGGTTTCCAGGGGGAACCACGTGGAGGTCGACCTGATAGGGCTGTTAAACTCCATTGCTAACAATCCCTTTCCCCCAGTATTTACGTATTACGTAGGTACGCATTTATACGTGTAAACGCGTCCACTCGTTATGGTTATTTTAATGAGAACACAGTTTAGAATAAAACACTCATATATTTATGATTTTGTAATTTATTGTAGTGTTTTTAATGGATGTAGAAAAGCAGGTATACTGTCGAACATATTTATAAGAATGCAAATTTTCATGCCAGGATCCGATACGTTAATAGCACGATGTCTTGTTTGTTTGACATGACAGGATTCGTTTGACAATAACTCTATTAGGAATTACTCAGATAATCATGTCATTCACAATAAATAGAATGAACAGATAATCAGGATCGAATACTGAAGTAGCTTAGTTTTTAATTAAACTTCTAAATAAAATAAAAAATATCGACATGATATCTATAGTAAATCTATACAAATTAATTATGAAAACGATTGCTAAATATGATATACATATATACTACAAAAATGTAATTTTCCTGGCTTGAAAAAGATTACGATTTTAATAATACACTGTATGAATAAAATATTCTCTTAACAGTAAGAATGGTACCTACATTGGCAGCTTTATTTACCTTAATTTATATAGGATGTCCTAAGTGATCTGTTGGTCGTTGGCTAATACCTATATCCTTATTAAGTGGCTATCTCTTATTAATAAAATTAAATACGAGTTTCAATTCGATGGTACCTAAAATGATGATACCTTAAAATTCCTTTATTTTTTCTATCTTTGTAAGGTTTTATTAATATACAATCGTTTTTATATTTGCGGGTTACTGCAAATGCAAAAATAATACTAATTCAAACTTTTTTAAACATAGGTAAAGTTACTAATTTCTCAAAATAATTTATTATGGAATGAACATCAACCACTTCACCACTTATTATTAATATCAAATCCTCAATGACGGCTGTGTGACTGGGTCGTAATTAATTTATTTTAATGAAATGTGCACTATTTTTATATTCGTGTATTGTAATCCTATAACTATGTTCCATTGTTTTGTGTCCCGGAACTCACCTACGTACATCAAATTAATAAGTTAAAGCTTTGTTAACTAAGTAGATATGTACATATGTATTATATATATATAATATCAACAAAATTTCCATCTGATCATTTTGTACTGTGGAGTTTACCTAAATTGCTTTTGCACGGGAGTAACTCAGTACATAACTGGGTTACATACAATTTAATAACATTATATCGGAAACACGCTTTATGCAAGTTACCTTCTGGCGTAATTGGAATATTGTACACGTTCAAACGTAAAACAGATTTTTAAAGACTGAAATCAAATTCAATTATCGATAAATAAATAAATTCTTATCCACTCTTTTTCTGCGTGTTTTTTATCGCGAACAAATAATTATTACATATGCACAAAATGTCTAACACTTTGAACCACAAAACACCGTACCAGTTTTATTATGTCTCTGGCAAATTAAAAATGGCGCATTTAGAACCTTAAGGGAATGTCTAAAAAGAGTTTCATGCGTTCACCAATATCAGCGACGGAACGCTCGTCGAGTTCTTGTTAGCTGTCGTCGCCAACGGCGTCGTCGGTTTCATCTTCATCGAGGGGTTGGCTAGTGAGCGCGGCCCAGAGCGGCGAGCGGGCCCCGAGCTGCGCTGAGCCGCGCCGCTAGCTGTCCCTCGCGCATACAGCGGCCGCAGCAGCGGTGCCCACAGCGCCCACTGCGCTGAACAATATGGCGCCCACTTCACGATCAGGGGTTATTTCTACCTGTGAACAAGCGAAATTTTATATTTAACGAAACATAACAGCGACATCCTGGTGATCAGTGATCATGTAAGCATTCATTTACATTTGAAAATTGTAATTTATGAAGCGTCTGTAAAACTTTAAGTTTACAGTTTATTACTATTTAAATTATGTTATCTAGTCTACGTTATAATTTTGTCGACTTCGATTGAATGCGATTGGGTTGGGTTTCAATTTTATTTTACGACGAAAACAATTGGAATCGGACAGGGTATCTATCGAAAGCAGAAAGAGGTAGATCGTTTGGCTGATTTGGAAGCAGCTGTTGTACAACACGTCGAAATGGAAATTATTTAGATATCTCGGCTATAAATAGAACAGAGGAAAAAGAATAGTAAAAATTCGGTAAATTAGATCTTTTTCGCAGTTATTTTGTTATTTGTTTATCTACGTGTGTAAAATCTTAATTTAGTAGGTTGTTAGAAAAGTATAGAGATGTAAAACGTTAATAAAACGTAACTGTTCGATCTGATAAGTAATTTGCACTTGGATTAAATTAGATTACAGATTGTAAGCATGCCCTGCTACGGCTCAACGCGCAGGTCTAAGTTTCTGGTGTATTAAGTGGGTTTGTAAGTTAAAGGGATTCGGTATTATAAATTATGTTTAAGAGCTAAACTTCATCCAATTAGTAGATACTTGTGAGAGTGTGGTCTGCTCCGGGTCAGATCTCTCTTCGAGTACAGTGTCGAGTTCGAGGGTGGGCGGCGGCCGGGGCGAACGCACCAGGCTGACCGGCCGAGGCTTGGCTTTGACGGGGGACACACGTACGACGGACAGCTCACCGCGGTCCAACTCGCAGTTACGGCGTCTGGCACGTTCCCTGAACACATGATTATATGTATAAGTTATTAAAATTTTACATATTGTTATAACTTACAACTTATTATTATAGTTACAATTGTACTCTATAAAAAATATATGATTTTTGAATCGAAAAAATTAATCAAAATCTTACTAATATAATAAAATTGTAACTAGATGATGTCTGTATATGGGAGATGATATTTAAGAAAAATTGGTATAAGGGAGACCACTCATATAAATTTTCTAAATAATAAAGTCTTAATTTCTTCTTAATAAGAAGTTAGTTCTTAATAGAAAGTTCTAAGAATAAATAAGAACAATAAATGCTAGAATAATTATTTTTTGAAAATATCGTCCCTTTGTCTGTATGTTAGTTCCGATATCACGCAAGAACTATTACACCAAATTAGATGCGGTTTTCACAGTTGTGTTCCTGAAGATCTAACTTAAAAACTGGTTATCAAGATATGCCATTTAGAGACGGTCTATATTATTGATTTTACTATTTCTGAAATCAACACCTATGAAATAACAAGCAAAAGGCTAGTGATTAATAAAAAACAAAAAAAAAAAAAAAAACTAAATAACTATTCCTTTGGCTATTTTTTTCTGCACTATTAAAATAAAACACATACCTACAGCTTTCTCAGAAAGGGCTTTGTAAATTTCAACGAGCAAGCGGATAAAAATTGACCTTAGAAATCCCCTTGACCTGAGAGTTTTTCATATTTTCAAATCGGTTTTTATTAATTTATTCATATTTACAAACTCTTATAATATTAAATATCTGTATATTAAATTCCATGCATAATATGTATTAATTTTTAATATTATATATAATAATATAGTTAATACAAGTACATGCTTTGTAGACATGCTTAGATTGGGATTAGATGGCGCTGTACGACATATTCAATGTTATTTTAGTTATTTATATATTTTAATGTTATAATTTATCTTAATAATGTCGACGATAAAGTTTCGTTCATAAAATGTATTAATTCTTTGAAATGTAAAAATAGTATAAAACAATTTATATTTTTATGTGGGTAACTATGAAACTTGCAAATGACTGTATTTAATTTAAATCTTTAGAGCTGTTGTTCATGGGTATATTATAAAAAATATCAGCAAATTTAATCAGTTATGTATTTGTACTGTAAACCATAATTATAAAAATAGACCTAGTTTTAAATTAGAGCTGGAAGACCATTTTCTTTATCTTCACATTACCATCCAGAAATTCGAGAACATGTTAGATATGACATCCGTAACATCGTCTGGAATTTCTTAATTTTGTGTAGTAAATTCCAAACGGGCGCTACTCGCCAATACTTTTCATATGAAACTTATTGCCCTTCTTTTCCTTTTCCAAATAAAAACAATGTAAGGGCCCGGATTATATAGTATATATAATATATAGTTGGTTATGCATGTGTATCCCCGGTTCAATAGCAATATTTAAATTACAATTATAACACTAAGGAATATAGTCTGTTATATTCATGGCACTGTTCATGTGACGGTGATATAGGTGACGTTTGGCATTTTCCATTAGGTGGGTAGTCAGATTGTTTGCCATTTTAAATGGCATAAAAAATGTCATTTAGGTATGTTAATAATATCAAGGGTACGTAATTATTCTATTCCAGTACTTGGAATATTTGTATGCAACGACTATTTCAATTCGCTTGACTGTATAATGCATGATAAGCAAATTTCGGTACCTCCCATGAGTATTTTCTAAGACCTTACTTTGTGGATACTGATAGTCCAATATCTATAAATTTATTCAATATTTCTAGTTTCTAGACTTTTGGACTGATTTGGATAAACCAGTCAGTAATATTTTTTTTTGTAATTTTTTTCAATAGATATACAAATTTAAAAAAAATCGCTCTATGCGTTTTTCTGTAACTTCGTTTACTTTTTCCAAACTACGTAATGGTTTTTTGACACAGATTTTACTGTAATTTGATATTTTTATGGAAGCTTTATATGTAGATACAATTACATCGCAATTAAACTTTATAAGTAGATAAATTGAATACTGTTGTAATAAATTACACCGGGGCTAGTCGCGATTTAGCGATGATGATATTTATTTAAAATTTAAATTAGCAATAGCGTCGTGATTTATATATGTAATTATATATACATGTAGTCTAAAGTATTTATATGAATAATGTACATGTGATTACATGAAACGATGGCATTAGTAGTCAGTGCCCATGCACATATACGAGCCTCAGTGCGACCTAGAACCTAGTCTCAGACTGTTGACCTGATTATGTATTATTAGCATGTGCGCAAGTTGCAATAGGCAATGCTTATTTACACACTTACACATTTATCCTACTTTACAAACTAGACAAAAAACTTTATACATATACGAGTATGTATATAAAAATGTGTATTTGTGTATTTCCACATGAGAGTGTATTTTATTCGGAATTTATATGGGAAATTTTATACAGTAATGTGTTATGGTATCATACTTAAAGTAATTGTACAGGGAGATATCTACAATGAAATGTATTTTCGTTTAATTAATCATATTGTAAGTAGCATTACTAAAATACTAAATGCTTAAAAATATAGTAATTACAAGCAAATATGCATGTGTGTTTATTATTTGAATTATTTATTTATTCATTATCTTTATACTTGGAATATTTTAGAACGAACTGTATAAATTTTAAAATTTTTTAGTTAGTTCAATAGTTATAAAAAAATTAGAACACGACTCCCAAAGGAGAAATTTTAATTAAGTTTCAACGGATTACAATTATTAAGATCCTTACTGTGCCGACCAAATGGTAATTTTGTTATTTGAGATATAAAATGTATATTATATTTTATACTCTTCATTGGAGTTTGAACATACCGTCCGCGTTATTTTTTTTAATCACACAATGATTATTATTATATGGTTTTCAAATTTTAACATTATTTCTGCAATAAAGCCAATTATGATTACTTAGAGTTTGCTGGAAGAGAACTCCTACAGAGTTAAGCTCGCCTGTTGTACATCTTTATTTAATATATCTTTATATGTTTGTAATTTTTTGTGTACAATAAATAATAATAATAATATGAAAAATGCAAAGTAGTAAGTTTGTCCCTTCGACCTAAATTACTACTTTAACATTTTTATGGATTTTTCACAGCTAGTCGTCGAAGAATTAAACTTAGTAATAAAGTAATAAATTTCCGAAAACGACCACTGACATCAAACCTTATTTTGGCACAATAAGTATTTTTAGATGTCCATTATTATAGCGTGGACTTAATTTGTATGACGGACGCTCAACTGTCGTGAACTCAATATTGGATTCTGTTCACGCCAAGTACGAATATGTATGCACGCATCTTTGAAGGACCTCGAACAACGTATATAATAAAATTATATCAAAATCACACTATGTTCTTCGCTTAGATGGCATATACATATTTATTTATATGTACATATTCCAAGTGTAAGTATAATATACATATAAATAAAATATAAATATCGTGGTAATATGAATAAGAACCTTTTTGTTGGCACCTTATTTAAAATAAAATGGTCTCGGTATATTTTTTGCTCCGTCTCTATTCTGGATGTCTAGACTAGGCTATTTTTAAAATTATCGTCTAGGCTAGGACTACTAAAAAGCGAATTTACACGAAATCAAAATAAATACTTGCTAAATCCCGAAGGGAATCGTTTCAAGTAGGTATGTGCTGTAACATTTAATTTGCGTGGAAAACGGGAACTCAAGTTGACAGACCGACCGGGCCGACGTGATTCTGTTGTACCTACACATATCCTACAATACAGTTAGAGCTATTCTTGTATATAGGTTAGGCCGTGTAAATGGGTTCACGAAAACCGCTCTAATGTTATCGTATTGAGACAAAACTCACAAGATAAGGAACTTTTTGGGCCGAGAATTCGATTTAACGAGGTACAATTCAGCGTTTTCGAGTAACCCGTTTTCTTGCAGTTTAATCATTACGTTAGTAAAACAACGTCGTTCTGACAATTGGGTATCTTTCTACTAGGATGAAACTTTATTTGATAAATACACAACCTTTTAATACCTAAAACATGTACTAAAAAAATAATTGCGTAGCATGTAAAAACAGCTAGGTATATTAGTTAACAGTATGAGCAAGAAATTATCAAACTTCAAATGATGTTTGGAAGGAAACACGAAGCTAACACCCAGTAATTGATTGGGTTATATTTATTCTAGCAAAACCTTATGAAAAATTTAGATTTGTACTGTTAGAAGTTACAGTTATAAGTGACAAGAGTTTAATATCTAAGTTCACTATTTTAACCTTAGCTGTGTAACTGCAGGAATCAGTCGTTATATCAAAAGATACGAAGAAAACATATAGTCCTATATAAATTTAAATATAAACCTGTTAAAAATATAACAGATGGAAACAAACAACGAATGATTTCTTGTTTTGCGAAATATTTTACAAATATAGCCGATGAGTGTTGCGAAAGACATGTTCCACAACGCGGTATTCAAGGGCACTGGAAATCGAATCAATCATTTTCACTATAATGTGTAAGCCGATCGGGTTGAATCGATTTCTACCAATTAAAATAAATATATAAATAATCCCTTTTTTATGCCACAAAGATGGCAAACAAGTATACAGCCCGTGTGATGGTAAACGGTCACTGTAGCCTATATATAGACGCTTGCAACAGGGGCGTCACGTGTGCGTTAATCTTGATTAAATCACAACAAGCTTTTATAGGAACAGAAATATAGATACAGAATTCAAATAATTTAACATCCATCCATTTGCATAAGAAATTAAATACGTGACATACAATAATGAGCATTAAACATTTTTAGGATGTAATTATTAAAATTTTTAATTAAGCATGATATGAAAATTCTGTCTCGGTGATCAGCCCGGATTACCTGGCTAATTTCGCACGTCGTCTGAGGCAGCATATCACGGTCAAGGCCAGGAGTGGGAACCCGAATATGCAAGATACTATTGGTACCACTATCGACTCTGGGGTAACTGAAATAAATATACATATATTAATATATTATTACTTGACTTAAGAAAATTATATAGATTATTGTAATTTTAAACAGGTTTAATTCATAAATTAATTAATACTTAAAAATTATAATATAAATATTGTATAAAAGATTTTTAAACAGTTTTCAATACGGTGGTATTTTTTTTGTTTTGGAAATATGAGGTAATCATAATTCCGTTAGTTGTAAACCGATTTCGAAATTTCTTTTTTTGTTGGAAAGAATAACTAAGAAAGAATAAGAACTTACAGATTAGTAGTATAGAAATTTTCTCAAAATCGATTCAGCAGTTTAGTTTTTAAATCAAAATAACTGGTTTTACCATAATTTAAATCAGTTTTTTTGTGGAATATAATTTAATTACAATTCTATAGTTTCAAAAACATTCTCTTATAGTGATCCTTCGAACTTTGAATCTTTTTACTTTACATTATACGTAATTATATTTATGACATGTATTTTTCTTAAGTGCTAATTATTAGGAATAGTTTTTGTAAAAATAATCTTTAAGCGAAATGTTGACCCAGATAGACTAAAAATAAAATCCCTTTCTGGAACACGTTGGGTTAGAATTAAATGCACGCAAACGACGTTCACTAGTAATTAGTATTAATTAGCCTTTGGAACCTCTATAGGTACATGTTACTGGACAGTTTTATAATTTACCGTAGTGTAGCACGATATCCTACGATTTTATTGTCATAATATAATTAGAGACTAAAATGTTGGAGATGCTTTCACTTTTAAGGGACATGTACGGAAATTTAAAAATATCTCTGAATAATTGTTATACATTTTGCTTTCTTATTACCTATATCATAACGGTAAAACTGTATGATATCGTGCCTTGCTACGATAAATTTATTAAAGAGCTTGTAGATGTTACTCACAAAAATATTATAATATTTCAAATTAATGATATTGGAAAACTTCCAAGTTAATAATCCATGAAATATAATCTGTAATCAAAAAATTTTTTTTTATATTTATAGCTGAAAAAGTATCCTATATGTTAAGTTAGGACTATAGTCTATCCATGTACCTTTAATTAAATCTGTTCAAGTGTTTGAAAGTGAATGAGTAACAAATATCTACAAATGTTGCCTACAAATAGCCAAATATATAAGTTGAGTAGCAGATTTGGTCACGTACTCGCAAATTAGGATAAAAAGACACTTTTTATGTGTCAATTTAGGAATATTAGTTATTGAGTCGTTTAAATACTATTGTATAACTAACATCCAAACCTCATTACAAACTTACACAAACTCGTACAAGAAGTATGAGTACGATAATAATGAGTAGGTGAAACATGTTTGACTGATATGCTTGTCCATGTATCAACGTACGGTTTAAATGAAAATAAATAAAAAAAAAAAAAGATTTACGAAGGTGCAATTTCAAAAAAGTATTTAGAGTTAAAGATGTGGTATCCAATCACTATATAATTATAGATATTGATTTAATACAAATTATATTTAAAATAAATAATGCACGTGCAAGCGTCCATAGGCTATGCTAAAAATTTCCCATCAGGCGGAGTATATTTAAGGCGGAGTATATATAGGGTAGGATACAATTTAAATGAATCCTTAATAAAGCCTTGACATCTCGCCACGTTACGTCATAAGTCCAAAAAATCTGAAGATAAATATGGCAAGGCTACAGTCACCGCCATTCATTGATCGCTCTATAATCGTTACATTTTGGCTGCGCATAATTTTGTATTGTATTCCACTCACACTGTGTGAAACGTTCCATTAATTAAATCAGTTAAGCGGATGTGAATGAAAATAAAATTAAGTGTAGGATTTGGTTAATATGTAGTTATAGAATTATCTACTGGTTCACCTGTTGCTGTTGCAATATATATTTTATTTGAAAGTTTAAAATAATTTATTACTTTCTTATCGACTCATTAACATCACCTTTTGTTCACTCCGCCCTTAATTATTTACTGTGCTCCTTATTTTGAAACTGGTGCATTAAAGTATAAATAAATAAATAACGTTTCACTGTTGGGAACGCTTCTCTCCTCAAATGACACGGACATTAGCTTACTGTTACCGCTCTGGTGAGGGGACTTGTCTTCTTACTTGATATTTTATTTTAAGTATTTCTTTTCTTGCTGTGGTTCGGACGGTATTGTACGTTATTCCTTGAGTCAGTTCTTATGACAAGCTGTTATGGCTCTTGTCGTATTTGTGTCAGAATAATACTGTCTTTATCACTTCAAACCGAAATATATTCAAATCACGTACTAATATACAAATACAAATTATGGTGGTAGCCTTCCAGGCGAATCATAAAACGTACCGACGCGTGTATATAAAAGATTTTATATTGTAATCTATAGTTATAAAAAAATGGCAAATTTTGTTTTTGCCCTCTACGATCACCTACTGGTAATTCTTTTTATCCGGACGAAAACTGTCCATTAATTAAACATTTACAAAATTATAATAGGTAATATAAAAATCGGTTGAATAGTTTCGAAGATTAGCGTAAATGAAAAACGTGACACGGGATATTTCGTACAATATTTCTTTAACATGCTCGCACCATCATGCACTATTCTAAGGACTACGGTACTATATTTCCATATTCTGTAATTTCATTGCTATATTCATCATCACCATATCGGCCTTCAATTGTCCATTGCTAAATATAAGCCTTCGCTTTGGGGGATATTCCCAGTAGTTGCCACGTTTGGCAGGTCGACTGGCAACCGCAGTTAGGCTTTGGAGATGTTTTAAGAGGGACGCTGTTGCCCACCCCTCGCCCTTTCTTAGTCGCCTGTCACGACACCCACCATAACACAGCCGTGCATGCAAGCAGTCAGAGTCCTCAGGAATGGCAACGCATGGGGGGTATCATGGGTGAAACAGTATAGTCTGCTATGTCCATGGTACTGCTCATGTCTATAGGCGACGGTTACCACTTTCCATCAGGTGGGCCGTCAGCTTGTTTGTCATTCTAAGTTGCATAAAAAAAAAAAAAAAAAAAGCAAGTACAGAACTATCTTACGCAAACAACTTTTGTACAGTCTTCCTCTGGCATTTAATATATCATTTACTGTTAATTATTTTATTCGTGACTTTCTCGGTAAAATGTATAATAACATAGCTATAATATATCTATGTCTTTGAATTTCATATTTGGAATGTTTATTTCAATTCTTTTTTTAGTTTTCTATTAAAGACAAACATAAGTTCGTATTCGAAAGTTTTATAATACAATTTATTGTTTTTGTGATTTTGTTTCGCTTTAAAAAAAACACTTTTAACTTTATATATAAACTTATTATAAAGATTGATGGTAAAAACCGTCATCAATATCGGTTCGTACTGACGAATATATCACGTGATATAGATAGGGACAAAAAATAAAGTAATGTAGTTGAATAGAGAATCTTCCTCTTTTTAAAGTCTCAAAAATATATTGACACTTACTTTGAAGAGAGATCTAGAATATCTGGTCAATATTCATTTATGTACGAGTTCTGCATATAAACGATAAAACTTGGACGCTGTAGAATCGTCTGAAGATTTCATTGTTTTCTATTCTATATGTACATTTACGTATGAAAATAGCTAGACATTCGGAATGCTGTGCAACCTTTGAGCGAGTTCAAATCGATACTTTCAAAGGTACTTTAAAGCAAATTTATAAACTTCGACAGTTCTAAAATTAAAATGTATTAATAGGGTCAAAGTTTAGCTTGCAGCCATATAGACGCCTTGGAAATAAAATATTGAAATTAATAAAATAGGAGACCAAATAGGCATTACTTTGAAATATTCTACTGTTAAGCTAAATATTTTGTGCAAAGATTGCTAATAACTATAACAAATATACTAATAAAGAATATAGTAAGTTATTTGACGATAATTTATTACCATTTACCAATAAATAAAGTGTATTAAAGAGTAATTCAACTAAATTATGCATTGACTTTTAATTGACCTCTCATATTTTAAATTCAGAGCTTGTATATAGTATTACGATTATAGGTAATAATGATACGTACCTACATATAAATACTTTTTTTTAAATATTACCAAGACTAGATATGACCAATACAAACAATATATTCAAAATTATATATGTTTGTGTTTGTGGATTGAACTTGCGACCAGAAAAAAGAAAAAAAATTGCATCAATGATAAAGAAAAGTAAAAATACAATATTTGATAATAGCAATTTTACAAAATAGAAGTTGTTACACAATTATTAGAATTCACAGTCTGTTAAAATTAAATGTTATATAAATATATTTCAATGATAATACTTATAATAAAATTTTTACATAGTTATAAATATAATGAAAAAAAAAAAGAAAATGTGAACCCTTGTGGCGGATTCTTTAGTAGCTATATTGGTAGTCGTCGCTGCGTGAATCGCTGTCATTATGCTGATCCTATGTGCGAGGTACGTGTTAAGCGGGAGTATGAACGTACACATATTATTATTCATTCATTTAAATAATACAATATTGATATGCTTCTTTTTTAACGCTTTTAATTTAAAAATCTTTTGTATATAAATGTATAAAGTCTTCTATATATAAATAAAAATGAATCGCTAAATGTGTTGCTAAGCGCAAAATTCGATAACTGCTAGACCAATTCTGCAATTTTTTTAATATATATTGAAGTCCAGGAAGATTCTTAAAAAGAGAAAATTTTGAAAGAACGCCTGGTATAACGGGGACATCAATTTTTTTTAATTGTTCCTAACTGCCAATTCAAATATTTCAAATCAAATAATGACATCAAACACATGTTATAAGAGAATGGCGTCTATCGTGTCATCTAGTGAAAAAATAATAAGACAAATTTCTACATATCTAATAAGTCAAGTCATAGAAACAGGTTCTAAATTTTATTCATAAAATTTAGCATAGCAAATGATGTAGATATTATTTATTACATAGCTTTATTAAGAATTATGTTGTAACTACATATTATACGAGTATTATTAAGAATGGTGTTCTAACTACTATATATACTTATATCATACAGAAATAAACCTAATAAATGCCATTTTATTTATTCACTAATATTTAATTGAAAGGATTCGTACGTAATCGTCAAACACTAAGCTATAAATAAATGTCTACGGAGGCTGTTACAAAACCTTTACATATGGGAGATAGTTACTAGTATAGTTAACGTTTGTTTGACGCAATATCGTCTCTGACTGATATTGTTTACAACACGTTTTGATTTACATATACTTTACAACATGTACCCAAAAATGTATGCCCTTGTAATATATTAGACTAACTAATTTATATATCAATAAAACGTATATACCTATTTATTGCATAAATACCACTTTCATTTATTAAGATAAGATTCGTTATCTATGTCATCTTTACTTGTTTTACCATTAAAATACAAATCTGTTTTTAATATACACTGATATTAAAAATAGATTTGTATTTTTATGGAATATATTTTTCCATAATAACCGATTATCGTTCCATTACTGGGCTCGAGGCTCTCCCTTGAGAAGGAATTAGCCTATTTCGAGCTTTTCTTCTGTTGCAGTGGTATATTGTGCTTTGTCACATTCTGTATAACTTTATATTTCTTAGTCACATCTTACGACAATCTGGGGATAAATATTGTCTACAGATATAAACCATGGGGTTATGTCTGTAGACAATATATATATATATATATATATATATATATATATATATATATATATATATATATATATATATATATATATATATATTGTAATAAAAATTTGATTAGTATTTGAAATGCTACATTATATAGTCACATATAAAACCTGAGGCAATAAAATGTTTAATTTCAGCATCTTACCTGTGGGGTATATGATAATTGGTGTCGGCCGCTTGTTGCCATTGGCACTTGGTTTGGTGACGCCGTTGGCAGTGGTGGTGGTCCCAGATGTTGGTGTGGTGGTGCCACCGAATCTCTGAAGTAATTGTAGTGGGTCGGCTGTCGTAGATTTTGTCATATTGCTCAAACTAAAACAATTTTTTTAATTTTTTTTAAATATTTCGTTTACAGTCCAAAATTAGAAAAACTTTTAGAATATACTTTGGGGATAAGATATATTTGTTACTATAAAAATGTGAATATGTAAGATAAGGACTCGTATCTTCAGGGAGTTTATTTACAGTTTATGAACTTTAAACTTCACAGATACCGCCATACAGGATGAAATTGAAATCGTTAGTATCCTTCCATCAGCGGAACTGAACATTTTTATAAAATAAATATTGGTAGAAAAAGATAAAAAATATAAGTTATATAATATCGCGCGGCCAAACGTTGGATTTTTTTAATGGATGATAATGGAATAGTAATTCCGCCTGCGCTAACAGTATACGCTGGCGGGGCACCAGTGAGAGATGATTGGTGAGAATGTAAAGGCAGATTAATTAGCCCATCATGATGGATACACTTGGAATTTGAGAGGATGGTTTACAGGGAGAACCACAAGGAGGTCGACTTGACAAGGTATATTGCTAGTAATGGTGCTGGTAATCCGTAATAGTAATAATCCATTTCCCCCTAAGTTGGATTAGTATGGGGGACTCATAATTTTTTGAGGTTTTTGAAAGTTTAATCACAAAATGTTTGTCCTAATATATTTGATATCACGGGTAGAATTTTAGTTTTATGTACCATTAACGATGTCGAGCCCTCTATGAAGAGTCCTAAAAATGATAATTAAAAAGTAATATTGTTGATTTCACATTTTTCCTGTATTAGTTTTAGATGACCTTTGTATATACGAATTTTTTTTATGCAATTTAGAATGTTAAACAAGCTGACGGCCCACCTGATGGAAAGTGTTAACCGTCGCCTATAGACATGAGCATGGACATAACAGTACACACACATACTGTTTCGCCCATGATACCCCCTATGCGTTGCCATTCCAGAGGACTAAGGTGTTATTCCTTTGTACTCTGTAAATTTACTGCCATATCCCACCCTTCAAACCGAAACACAGCCATGCAAACACAACTGCTTCACGGTAGAAACACGAATGGGACAGAGGTGCCCAAGCAAACAATTTTTGTACAAAATCTCCTTCTGGTTATTATTAAATTATTTAAAGTCAAGTAGTCCTGTAGTAGAAGAGAGCTGCTATAAGTAGTGAAGTACAATATGAGTGTTTGAATAAGAACATGTGTATATTTTTTTAGCCTTGATAATGTACACACACACCTATGTAGTGCATGGCTATAGATCTTCATATTTTCTTTGTGCAATTTGGAATGACGATAATGTTGATTCACTTGTAATTTTCGCTTGTTAATATAAAAAGTATCATGGATATTACAGTATACATTGTGAGGACTTTATGCCTCAAAGAAGTTGGTTTCATGTTATTTTACTAAGATTGAAATCTCTTATTTTGAGGAACAAAGTTTAAAATTATATCACTATCGTTCTTGAGCAAAAATATGGTTGAAAGTCCCAAGTAACTTTAAACCATATTTTTTTTAAATCTACTCGTATTAGCTGTTCCTAATAGATATTTCCAAAGTTCTGTTTTCACCTTTTGGTTATGGAACACTCAAATATAAGGAGCAGACTTAGGTGCTCTCGTAAATCAGAAAATATATATTGAATGTCAGTACACTCGAAGCTTAACCTGATTTTGTTTTCAGTAACTTTATGTTCCTGAGCTGAAGTAAAACGTCTGATCGTATACTTTAAATGACATGTGGATGGAATCGTTCCGGGGTGGTACTTTATCTTATATTCGTTCTGAAAACTATATTTCCATAAACCGATAAGGGATAAGCTAAATGTATTTTAGTGAAGCTGCACGTATTGATTTCATCGTAACTGTGTTTGTGTAAGACCTTTGACGTATCGTGGGTAAAAAGCGATCAATCATTTGAGAATGTTGCATTTTTAAGATAGAGTATAGATATATGAGTAGGCTATTTATTTAAAATGTTATTCTTCACTCATGAGTCGGACGCTATTAGATGAGATTTTGTTCATGTAAATATTTTGACGACGTTATTTACCTAATGTATTTCTGTAAAATTTTACTATTAAAATAGAAAACATTTTGAAAGTATTGCTCATATTATGTTTATAAACAGGAAAAAAATTCTATTGAATGTTTCTCAAGATTATGCATAACCAAAAGATAATATATAAACCGTTAAAATTCTATTACTCGACAAAAAACAGTAGTAATATATTAGAGCCTTATTTATGACAGAAATTGTATGGCATTTCTAGATATGTGTAGTTACAGAGCCCGTTAAGTACAGGTAGAAACGAATACGACGTTTATTAAAAAAGTTTTTCCATCTGTATTTATCTAAGTTTGGTGACAAGTGATCTAACAATTTTATTGGAAATTGGTTTAATATATATTATACGAGTATTACTAAGAGAAAGTTAATGTAATATTATCTGTGGTAATATAGTAATTAAAGAGAATAAATAGAAATATCACTAAAATATGATAAGCTACGACTTACTTATAATTTTATAAATAAGTCGTAACTAATTATTATATATAAGGCTTAATTATATATAAGTTTGTGCTTTTGATTTCGAATTGTAGTGATTCTGTGTAAATTCGTTTAACAAATATAATAATTGTTTAAAATTTAATAAGTAATTTGTTTGGGTTTTGGTTGTGGGAGCTGAGCACATACTGGCTTACAGGAAGTCTGTTGATGATTTTGAATTAGATCAAGAATTATTTCTAGACAGGTACGTAATAGTATCATGAGACCAAGATAGAAATAAAAATAGAAAGACAGAACAAAATACACGTTATTTTGTTCTGTCTAATGCGAGCGCTTCGAAAATATATTTATCAATAGTTTTTTGTCACTTATCTAGGGGGTTTGGATTACATAAAAAATGTGTGTGTCAGTTTGTGCCAGTTAAAAACTTCCGACTAACTCTTTGGTAAATAAATGTCAACAAACTCAATTGATAGATAGATGGTAGGTGCACTCCCTTCTGAATCAAGTTATATATTCACCGTAAGACCTCAAATACTTACTCCATGTTGGCCTTTAGACAAAGTAACATTCCTTTTATGAGAAAGTGCAGAATGTGTGGGATTGACATTAAAAGCTTTTGATTCGAAATTCTAAGCGTCACATGGATTAGGAGTGTATTATGCCTGTATAAGCTTAAGTCAATCTCATACATTTCATACTTTTCCAGTAATTCATCTGAGAATTTTCCCGTATTATATTTTTTTTTCAAATTCAATTCTCTACTAGCGAAATGTATCTATGGTATATGTCTATAGCCTACTATCAGATTCACTCTATAGTTTAATAGGATTAATATCAGTCAGAATTTTTTCCAAGTCTACGTCCAATCCTATATGATAAATTAGTACCAAACAAAAAAATGTCTAAAATGATTCATAATAAATAAAATAATTAGATTACAAGGTTTTATTGACAAAAGCGTGACCTCGTTTCCAATATTCGTTTTTGGAGGAACTTGTGTTGGAAACTTTTGCATTAGAATATTGAAAAAGTGATTTCAGCACAACTGCTTCTAAGTAAACTTGGTTGGAGTAGTGTTGTATACATAAGTAGTTATTTATAGGCGAAACTTTTACCGACATCGAGTGAGTTCTGTTGTTCTCTCTGCTGGGGGCAACGATCAAGTGGGATTTGTATGAGAAAGATGAAGTTTGTGCACTGATTTATGTGTTCCTTATTGTAACTACTTGTTAATTACTGGCCATAATCCATAACTTTTATAAAATATAAGTTTCATTACTGGAGAAAGTTTTATCAAACATTAAGCATTGAATCAATATTCTTTCATTTCTTTTAATGGCGCTAATAATATATAAGGTATTTAGTGAACTGGAAACTGACAAAACTATTCTAAAATGCTTACTCAGTACAATACTTATTACATTCTAGCCTATTTCTCTTTTGTCTGTTACTTCGTACGCATGGATTTCAGAAGTAGGATAAATAAATGATATAGACTACTTTTAGATGTTTGTATTAAGATAAAGCATACATTAGTTTTTTATTAAGACATTCAGGAATACAGAATTCAACATCGTTTTCAATTTGGTGCAGTAGTTTTCGCATGAAACTGGAACAAACATATAGACAGACAGATAAAGTTTTTAAAAAAATACAAATATTTTGCCATCTATTGGTTTTATTAAGAACTCTTATATTGATTTTTCTTAAATATCTCCCATGTATAGATACCGTTTAATCATAATTTTATTCTTAGGTATATATTTGTAATACATATATAAATAATATGGTATTTTACACAGTTGTTTTGGAAACTTTACTATACTGACCAAAACTAAGTAAGCCTCAGTACAATATACAATGTGATTTCATAAACTCCCTAAACAGCAATAAGGGTAAAATGATTATGACAAACAGCGTAACTGATGCCAAGATGATTGTAGGTATTAGTTTCTTTAGTCAGCTTTTGGTAGGAGGATCAATATTTGATTATATATAGAATAGGAAAAGAGAGTATAAATATATAGATATAGCTTCAAGTTTTAATTAGAGTATATGAAATATTTCGCTTTGATATTTGGAAAATAAAACACAGCCCATGTTATGAGTATATTCGTAATTTTCTATATTTGAAAGAATTTTTAAAATCGATTAAAAAATATTTTTTGAGTTTATCCTTTACAAACAAAAAATCAATTCTTTCCTATTTTTATATTAGTTTGAATAGGTTTACTATAAGAGAAGTATTCTTGCCTGTTGAAACCACCAATACGCTGACCTGGTGACTCGGTATAAGATTTATTTAGACTTTTCCTTTTTTGCGCTGTTATATTATGCATTCACTGAGTTGCACTTACGACATCTTAGGGATAAGAAGTGGCACGTTGTATTCTTACTCCGTGACTTTATATCCTGGGACTACATCTACGATATTTCTTATTCCCGGAAATAAAAGGGTTTAAGAATTCATGTTAGTACTAGTAGAGTTCCGGTCACATCACGCAATTTTTTGTATGTTACTAAGAATTGCCGTCATGCTTATAGAGTGTCGGAACAAAGAACAACGCAGATATGTATATAAATAAATACTACAAGTATATCAATTTGCTTGACAATTTTGATAATAAATTGATTAAAAAACGATTTAAAATTCTAAAACATCATTGCAAATAGTATTTTTGAAAAGGTTTATTGTAACATTAAGGTGCGTAGTTTAGTATGACGTATAAGTTTAAAACTTAATTAAATTCGAATACTTGTATCGTTTAAGTAATACTGTTGTCTTTTTACCTGACCACGGCGAAGCAAAAAGGAGGGTTATGATTGTGTTCAGTATGTATGAATATATGTTCATCTGTTCTCTTATAACTTCTAAACTACTCATTATAATTTGACAAAAAATGTGTTATTATAATTTGACAAAGGATTTTGATCGTCCGCTATATATATATATATATATATATATATATATATATATATATATATATATATATATATATATATATATTGTTAGCTGTTGTTAACTGCATTTCTTGTATAAACCCATCTCAACTTTTTCCGTCCACTGCTGGACATAGGCCTCCCCCATAAAGAATGGTTCTGAATCACTTATAAACCCAATAATTGGGAATAATTTCATAGATATGAGCTTACCCATGTGGTATCGTTGGAAACGTTTTGATCATCATCTGGTTATTGGATATGTGACATCAAATTCAATTAAATATAGCGGCCTCTAGAGGATATAAAGTTATAAAAGATTTTTTTTTTTAATGATGCGGTATTGAGTATCAAAAGAAAGGGCTTAATTAATATATACATTCGCGAGTAACCAAATCGACTCAGATAGCGCAAATATGCAATGATTTTACTAAAACGGCAAATGTCAATTATAAAAATGATTCATTTCGAAAAATATAATAATAGAAAAATAATTGCATTCGAAAGCTTAAGATGTCAGCTTTAATTTGATATCATTGTCATTGAAATCCATCAATTATTTCTTAAGTAAATTATGTCTGAACAAAGGAGTAGGAAAAATGGGAATTTAGGAAAAGGGCCTAGGTCCCGTATTTTGGAAATTAAACAAAAAATGGTAAACTTTAAAAAAAATATTAAATCAATACTTCGTATTGTCCTTCGTATTGTCTAGTCCTTATTACAGTCTGTTTTTCATTGATCTTATCAATTTTTTGACATTTTTTTAAGGAATGTCGTCCCACTCCTCTAACAATGCTGCCTGTAGCTCGTCTACGCTTGAAGGGACTGGAACTCTTCTTTTAAGCTCGTCCCATAAATGCTCGATGGGATTCATATCCGGGCTGAGTGCAGGTCAGTCTATCGTGCGCAATTAGACCTCTTCAAGAAACTGCCAAATAACTCGTGCCGTGTGACAGCGGGCATTGTCGTGCATTGACACGAGGTATTAGCCGACAAACCCTGCGTAGGGCACAACATGATCGAGTAGGATGCGGTGATGTACCGATCAGATGTTAGCCCGACTTCTCGGCCGCCCCCAGGCACGAAAACAAGTTCAGTTTTTCCCTCTAAGAAAATACCAGCCCACATCATGCAGGAACCGCCGCCATACGCCACTGTTTCAGTAAAACAGCATTGGGAACATCGTTCCCCTAGATGCCTGTAAACTCGGCCTCTCCTGTCACTGCCATGCAGACATATTCTGCACTTATCAGTAAACAGTACCGACCGCTAATACGCAACGCTCTAATTGAGATGTTCTTGAGCAAATTGAAGGCGCGCTTGTCGGTGTTGCGCAGCGAGATTGAGACAATGAAGCAGTCGTCTCTCTCTGTGGTGCACCGGTGGCGGCTCGTTGGCTTCGCTTGAAGGCACCAGTCTCTTGGAACTGTTCGTATACTCGGGATACAGCAGACTGGCTCAAGTGGAGCTGGGCAGCGACTGCTCGCTGGCTTGTTAACAACTAGCTAGCTAACCCTTGTTGCAACAAGGTAACAACTTGAGCAGCTTCTTCTGGTGTGGTATCCATGGTTTCACGAAAATAAGGAATGCAATTTACTGAGATGTGTACCGGCCAACTTGTGATAAGCGACTGATAAGGTAAATCGGGTGTGGGCGGGTTTTATAGCGGGGGCAGGTAGCGCAATGCGTGGATACCTTATGAAGCAAATTTTCCATGACGCCCAATTAAAATGCGTCATTAAATCAGCACCTAAGTTTTTTTAGGGTTTTGATGTTAAATGAGAGCATAATTCTTCAGCTTTCGAATGACATATCATTTTTATAATTGACGATGTGCGTCGCCAAAGGTTGAGTCGATTTGGTTGCTCGCGAGTGTATATTGTTAGCTGTTATTCGCGGGGTTTCTTGTATGCACCCGATAATTGGGAATTAGAAATTCTTCTAATTTTACGCGGATCTGAATATACTTTATCGTAAAATAATTATTCCCAAATAATTTATATAATAACAAGTAAAAAAATAAAATCCCATAACACGATACGACCACGGCTATTTTCTGAACATTACTATGAATATGTATTAAATAGATTAAAATACATATATTACATATAAGTTTATTTATTCAATAGAAAATAAATATTGTACTTTGTACATAACAATTCCAGATGTGAATATTTTCTTGTTTCATATTTTTATTTTAGAATGAAAATTGAACGGTAACCCCACGGTTAGAAATAGTCAGGTCTATGAGGTCAAGTCAGGTCAGGGGAAATAATCACGATAGTTTCCAATAGCGACCACGTGAAGATCGACCTGACTAGGTATGTAATGGGGTCATTAGTAGCTATGACTAACAATCCGCTCCCTACAGAGAGTCTATGTATTGCATATAGATATTCAAATCGGTTACATAAACTTTATCTGATGCATTTTATTTCAACTAAAATAATCAATTTAAAAATCTGATAAACTCATTTCAGAAATAAACGGAGGGTAGTTTTGCTTGGTTGTTATATAAATGACTTTGTACGTTACCTCTAGACGTTTAAGGTCTCCGTCGTGAGTTATGTAAAACATTTTAATGTTTTAATTTACAACTGCGTGAATGACCCTACTTTTGCAGTGGAATGAAAGCAATATAAAACGGAAATTAAATTCTACAGAATTTCTTTTGTTATCTTTGATGAATAAACAATGATTTAATAATATATATACACATATATATATATATATATATATATATGTGTATATATATATATATATATGTATATATATATATATATATATATAATGGACAACTACAACCAACACGGGAACGAACACTTTCGTTTAAAAATCATCAATTTCAATTTATTTGTGATTGGCAACGTTATGTCCAAAAATAAAACTTAAATCGATACTTCCTTATATTTGGAGTCACTGGAAAATAAATTAGATATAATATAACTAACAAAAGGTAAAAAGAACAATCCTGTTATCTTTCTGTATATGTAATGTCTTAAAAAATATATATTACTTTTTCATCAGTCTTTTAAAAGATGTTTATATTTATTTATATGTAATTTCAATATATACAGGTATACTTACGCGTTCAGAGGTATATTCATTATGAAACTATAACTTTATTACGTAGATATTTTATTCACTTTAAAAATTCTCTTATTTTTAAACATAATAAAAAAATAAAAGATATGTTTTATAATTTTTAATAACCTTTAAAACATTCTAATTTAGCTTTGATATAATGAAATTTTTATATAATACGTTTTATAGTTTTATAAAAATTTTAAATTCCAAGCGTTAAGTCAATTAAGAAACTTTTTTTATATCAGTCAAGTTTTAATCATTTTTAAACTTAATAAACTTTTAGTTGATACTTACATGCGACAAAATTTGTATTATTAATGCGTTCTTTAAAATGCAGCTTCACTTAGCTTGAACATAAATGCTTTGTATCATTTTGATCTCACTAGTGCAGCGGGTATTATGCACTTGTAATGTACTTCTTAGTGCGAGGGTATTTATTTATTACATTATTGACAGATTTGAATAACGGGAATAACTTTCTAATCTATTTATGGGTTTTATATTTTTACTGTCACGCGTTCGTAGCTATAGGAGCGAATCGGGGTTTATTGCAACGAACGGTCGTCCCGTAGCTCTCCCGACGATACACTGAGGTCCGGAGCTTAGTCTCAGCTGAAACTGAAACATTTTGGAGGCAGCCGTTGCATTCCATCCACCGATCCAGTCTCCGCTTCATTACTTGGTCATTCCAAGCCACTCCAACCCTTTCTGGGACAAAGTCATGCACAATCACAGCTTTGTAGCTAATGGCTATTTTAATCACGTTAATACTTCTTTTCTAGTATGTTGAATTTTGTTAATTAATCTTATTTAAGTAGAATAAGAGGAAACATTCCACTTGTTATTATTTTCACAGACTATTTGGTAGATTTAACGGTGCTGCCAAGCGAAATGGTGTAATCGAGGAGTATAATGGATTCCGTGGCAATTAGTGAACATTATTTTCCTCAAAATATTTCTCATTTATTTGCGAAATGAATGATAAATTATTAACGGTGGCGGTCCAGTGACATTTTTTACAATATTCTGGGAAATTAATATTTTTTATTGATAAAAATACGTTACTAACGTATTTTTTATTATATAAAATAAGATTTTATTTTTAGATGTTAATATTGATATCGATAAATAAATTTGTATTTAATATCTGTTATGATAGTAGGTTGGTTATGTAAATTAAACTTAAAAACTAAGGGCCAAGATATAGTGGGAAATTGTAGATAAGTGATTTGTTTTGCTCGCCTCTGTTCCACTCTTGTTTGTACTACTAAGCAGCTGTGCACGGCTGTATTTGGTATGAAGGGTGAGATATGACAACGAAATTACCGTGTACAGAGATATACACTAGTCCTCGGAGAAAATAATACGCCAGAGCTAAAAATCACGATTGTCACAGTGTATTCTATGGCAATAGGGGATGGTTATTACTTTTTACCGAGTGGAACGTTCGCCTGTTTGCACTTCCAAATAGCATAAAAAATCTTTCAACTGCACACGACAGGTCAATTTTGACGAAATATCAACCTCTCAAAACAGTGTCTATAGTGCTCTTTAGATAGAACTCCTAACTGGTTGTTGGTTATTTAAATATGTAAATAAATAAATAGAAAATTCCTTCCGATAGTCTATGAACTAAACCTACATTTCTTATTGAAGATTTTTGTTTGGGTAGATTAGTAAAAGAAAAACTCCCAATAAAATATTATCAATAATTAAAAATATATAGACAGTTATTTTTAAAACAATCTACTATAGACTTTATTGCACAAAGCTATCGAATGTTTTCATTCCAACTGAATATAAATAAAGTTATATATTTAACGTTTTTTTTTTGGAAAGAAGTGTAAAATTATAAAAGGACATAAAGACGATAGTACAGAATAACAAAGAATAAAAAGTAGGCATTTTTTATGTAACTTTTGGAATGGCAAACAAGCTGACAGCCCACCTGATGGTAACTGACAACCCTAAAGAACAACAAGTAACAAAAGTAGGTACTTAATAAAGCACTTAATTTGTTTTTGAAATAATATAAGGATGACGTTGCCATTTTCTATTAATGCTTACAGTTTAATTTCATCCTATCAAAATAATTATAAGCATCAATAATTTATCTATTGATTGGTACTTAATATCTTAATAATCTTTATTGTTGTATTTATACGAGTACTGATGATTTAAATTTAATTTTAAGTGAATTCAAAAAAGGATGTTCGATTTTATATTTTTTTTAAGTGACAGTAGACAGGTGTCGTAGAGTTTTTTGTTTTATACGAACTGCTATTATTGGTTGATGACAATATTAATGACGTAACGTGTTAAAAATATTCGACTGTTGAGACCCGGATTTACCTACTCAGATATATATACCAGAGACTAGAGTCTCGGGTAGTGATGTACCAAGTCGACTCTTTTCAGTATTAGAGTATTTTATTACTTGTTAGAAAAATTGGAATCATGACTCGAATTTAAGGACAACCTCGAAAACTTCTTTGGGTATTTGAATACTTCATTAGATTCAAATAATTACAATTAAAATATTTAAAATTGTTCTATTGATTTTTCAAGTTTAATTTTAATGAAGATAAGTGCCCAATTATTCAAAAATTTTTAAGTATGGTAATTAAGAAAATAATGATAATACGATGAAACAGAAACATTAAAATACGTTAAACACACGACTCGTGTTTTACTGCAAATACTCGAAACTTGTATTCAAATATCTCAAGTACTCGAGTGCCTGAGTATCTATTAGGTATTCGAGTCAATTTGACTTGGCACTTCACTGGTCTCCAGTAGGTAGATATATGTAATTTACAGTAAACATGCACCTGTGAAACCTCCTTGCCTTTTATGTTGGCGTATTAGTATGTATATTTAGATAAGCCAGTTCTATTTATTTTCTATATAGAAATGGAATTTTCCATCCGATTAAGCCCGTCATCCGAAATTTGCGTATAAATGTGTTCATAATATATCTACCTCATCGTTTATATTTTCTTAATATGTATAGAATATAAAGGAGGCACACCGGTATGTTTTAAATAAATATTAGTCTGTTTTATATATGATTAACTTATAAAGTAGATACGGTTGTTTGAAAAAAAATTGTAAATAAGACTTCGGAATGATTGTTATAACTTACATATTAATTCTTTTCAAACATTGAATTGAAACAGAATAGTTTTACAGTTATGGATATTAAAACGCGATTTAGTACGAGTAGGGGGGAAAGGGATTGTTGGTGATGGAGTCTAATTTCCCTATTACTAGCAAAACACCCTATCAGGTCGACCTCTACGCGGTTCTCTCGGAAAACCGCGTGATTAGTTTCAGCGGAATTAGTCATGATATTCTAACTGACTTGCTTTTATCTTAACGTGTCATACTTCACTGATTACGATTCCATTATCACTCATTAAAAAGAAACCAACTGAGTACCATATTTAAGATGTTAATCGCAATGAATCGACAAATTATTGAGACCAATGTAATAAGTTTAACTTTAGTAAGTCTACGAATACATTATCTTAAATACTATAATATTTCATAGTCATTGACTTTATGTACCATCCGAATACAAAATTTTAGTTTTTCGGAACAAACGAATCTTGAAGTGAGTTGCTTTGATTAAAACTTTATTAATCTTTATTTTTCTCTTTGTATTTACAAAGACATAAAACATGCAACATTTATAATGCTATTAAGTATTTTCTATATTTGCACACAAACAAATATTGCAAGCTTATAAGACCTTGATAAAATCATTGTAGATGTTAGTACGCTACAATCGTAGATATATAAGTTTTAAAAATTAATTTTTTTTACTTACTCGTAGCATCATTTTATACATTTTCATATTTCGGACCTGCTTGTTGACATTATGTCCGACTATTATGTATATAACGACAACACTTCCCATATCCAGAACAAAGGTTATTACCTTTGTTCTGGATATGGGGTCAGATTAGTACCTGTCGTGCTCGACTCCTAGGGATCTTTTGTGCTTCCCTTTGTCTTACTCTACTAACATGTAGGTATGTCTTAGATTAGTTTTATGTCCCGCGATTCGAAATACTTATAGCATTTAGATAAATTATTTTCTTGAAATTTACGTATACTCGTAAATTTCGCATTTCTTGTTAAACAGTCATAGTTGCATATAATTTAATTTTTTAAAGAAAATGTTACAAGGAATAAAATTTTATACGACCCATCGTGAAGAGTTCCATTTGGATCTTTTTTTTTCACCTGTAGTTTTACATTATGTTCGGTGTGAATCGTCCATATGTTCTTATTCTAAGAGTCATATTGTTTGTTAATGCATTCGCTTAGTTTTGTAATCTCATATGTAAAATTAATTTGTCAGATATAAATAACATCATTTTCGTTTATTTAAATATATATATGAATTCATTAAAATGGTAGAAGTTAGTCATCATCTTCCTTTTATAATATACACATAGTATATATATATATATATATATATATATATATATATATATATATATATATGTAGTTGTCCATTATATATATATATTAATGATTGTATTAATGTTAGTAAAATTAAGAATGCAATGAAATATAAATGAAACCTAAATATTTGCTAATAATGAAGTTAGAGTTTGAACTAACTTTAAATCAGTATACATACCTATAATATATGTACATAACAAGTTATTTTACTTATTGTATATGGTAAATATGGTTGTTCTGTCTACAATTTTAAAGGTAACTTAATTATTAAATATTAATACGCAACTAAAATTACTCGGTCTAGAAAACTGAAATTTTGAAGTAGACTTTGTATACAATCTAATCATCCGCTACTTATTTTTTAGAGCTGACCGCGGAAATGTTTATTATAAGTAGCGGCAACGCGAGAACATGATGGTCCATAAATACAAACAACAAAATAAAGCATATTTTGTCAACAGTTGGCCACTCTATCTTGGCTTACCAAGTACCTTCTCAAGCAACGCTTGAAGGACCTAAGGTGGTATTAATAAGGAAATATGTTACAGGAACGTTCGCTCTATTTTTAGTAATTCTTACGTTAAACTGCCACTAAATATGTAACTCGGTTATAAATCTTAATATTACAATTAGAAACATCAACCCATTTCATTTACAGAAGGGTTTAAATCACAATGCAAGCATTACTAATTTACACAAACCAGGGAAATATGTCACTTCCAATATACCGTCGGAACCCAAAATGTTCCTTCCAGTTGGTTTTAACGCATCGTTGATTTCGTTATAAAGCTTTTCCTGGAAGAGAAATATGGTAAGAATGAATGTCAAACACAATACAATGGATATTACCTTAGACAAATTACTACAATAGATACCTGTTACCTAATACTAAAAGGGTATAGACATGCATGCTTTTAGCAATAGAAATTGTCTTTTATAATTTTTTTTATATAATTTGGAATAATAAATAATCTGATAGCTCACTTGATTGACAGCGCTATGACACCTGTAGACATGAACAGTACTGAAGAAATCATCAGGCGCCGAGTCCCAGAGACTTAGAAATCTAAGGCGAGCGCCGAAGGTCCGACAGGAGCTCCAAGTAATATTGTAAGATGACAAATGGGCGCGAACCTTGCGTGGGTGATGTTGATATAG